TTTTTTTTTTTTTTTTTTTTTTTTTTTTTTTTTTTTTTTTTTTTTTTTTTTTTTTTAGTTTTCTTTTTATAGTTAAATTTATTTGAAAATTTTTTGGAAGATGAATTTAGAGGTATTTATAGTCAAATCACCAAACATTTGAAAATGACTTGTTTTTTAATCTAATTTGATGAATCGAGTAGGAATGAGACAGCGTACCTTAAAATCCACCTATAATATTTCACCCATATGCCTTTAATTCTAAAATATAAAGATTAAGGAGAATTTTTTTTCATTTTTAACCAAAGTTTCAATTTATTCTTTTAAGTGTTACCCATGTAAAATCAAACTTAAATTTGTGAAAATTTTGATATTAATGAAATTAGTGAATTTACCTTTTTTTTTTAAAATAAGCACAATTTAACTAAATTTAGAGACAGAAACTAAAAGTATGAATTAGTTTTTTTTTCAGTCTATTATGGGAGAAAAAAACACATAAATATAAAAATATAAAATAATTTAAAAAAATTTAATGGGGGATCCTATAATATGGCCATTAAGGAAAACCCCACATTAAAAAAAGGGTCATTTTAATTAACTTTAGTCAATCCACAAAAGCATTAATTAAAAAAAAAAAAGGAGTGTCCTTAATCTAGAAGGAAATTATTGAGATTTGATTTATAAAAAATAAATAACAAAAAGGGATATATAAATATAAATAAAATAAGAAAAGCAATTTGTTTTATAAAATGAAGATGGGTTGGTGGGCTACTTTCTTTAATTCACATCACATTATTTTCAATATGTCTTTTTATTTATTCCCACAAATTAAAATACATAATTTGACTTTTCTTCCTCTCTGCCCCAATCACACATTAATAATAATTACCCATCAACCTTTATAATATTAACTATTTATTTCTCTTTCAAATAATTCAAATTCAACCATCTCATTCTTTTATTTATCACTATTTATTATTATAGTTTTTTTTTAAAAAAAAAAATACAACAAATATGTATGTATATGAGAATTGAAAAAAAAAAAAAAACACCTTTCTCTGTTATCGTCGGGATCTCGGAGATTGAGCTGAAAATGTAGTGCATACCGCCCTCTCTTCTTTTTCCTATTTTAGTCAGAGTGGAATTAGGAGATCACTCCTCCATCATCAATTCATCGTGGGTGTGGTCACTAGAGAGCCCCCATCGCTAGTCATACTTCGTCCAAGACTACTGATGCGTGTATCACAACGAACATTGCCATTCAATTATTAGAGGAGAAAGGTACTAACACGGACAGATCATACCAAAAAAAAAACAAAAAAAAAACAATTAGTTCCATCTATAAGTGGAAAAGAAAAAAAAGAGACAGTAGGGGAGGGTGAATTCTTTAAATCTTTAATTTTTAAAATTATTTAATTTATAATAATGGTGGTTGCCTTTTTTTTAGACAGTGCTTAGAAGCATCATCATTGAGAGGGTTGCTTCATGTTTAGGCAAGCAATCACTCTGTCTTCTCTTATTCCTAAAATTCATTAACAAATATTTTTTTTTAATAGGGAAATTTCCTTTTGTATTTGTTATAGAAACAAAGAAAATAATAATAATTATCATCCTAGACTATGAATAAATCACGTCATGTTTGATGGTACATTATCCATTGTTTTCAAATTTAATGATAATAATAAGAGTTTTATTTATTAGAGAACTTATTTGCCTTGAATTACAAAATTATTAAAAGAATAAAAAATTAAAAAAAAATGGTGAGAATTATGTGTAGTGTAGTGTGTAAGGCGGTGTTTGGGGGACCAAATTGTTGGAGATATTTAAGAATGGGTTATATCAGAGATGCTGAGTTATTATTATAAGTTGAATCAACAACAACCATATATTTAAATATTTATTTATTCCATTTTCTCCCATTTTTTTTAAAAAAAATTATATATTATTGCCACTTCTCCTCCCTCACAACTCAATAAAATATATTCTTTTATTCATCAACTTCTAAATATTTTTAATTTAGTCAAACTTAAATTCAAATAATTAGATGTTAATAAATGATGGAATAATTTTAGCATATTCATTAAAATACCATTTCTTTTTTTATTAAATTTGTTTTTCATTAATACTTTCATGTTTTCTATAATAAATTTGAAATTGAATTAACTAAATTTATAAAATGATTTATTAGATCAAAATTAAATAATTGAGAATATACTAAATAGAAGATAATTTTTTTAAAATGATTTATCATACACATTTTGATATTTTCAACCCGTAATTAAAAGTTTATTAATTTATTATCAAATAATAATTGACACGTACGATTTATTATTAAACATTTTTTTAAATACTATAATTCAACGATAATTGAGTTGGAGTAGAGTTTTCAATTTTGCTACCATAAATTTGTTATTTTAAAAAAATTATAACTTATATTTTAACCTTTTAAAAAAAATACTTTCCCATGTTTGTCATTTATTTAAAATATATCATGAAATTTATAAAATATTTTTAAAAAATGTTATAGAAGGTGGGTAGTAAAAAGGATAATGGAAAAAAAGAAAATTCCATAAGAAATAATTAAGGGAAGAAGATTAAACAAATCTCACTTGTAATTCAATCATTAGCAAAATATAGTTAAAAGAAGATGATGTTTGTGTGTACCATCCAATTCCAAGCCGAACCAACCACATGGATGCAAGAAGAAGAAGAAGAAGAAGAAGAATCTGAACCACCGTGGTTTCGTTTTGAAGATAAAGCAAATAGGAACAGCTGAATCAAGGTGGGCAGCTGCCGAAACCTCCAGATTTGGCTCCCAAAAGTTGCAGGGCAACATTCTCAATCTCATTTCCCACTTTAATCCTATCTATCGCTTTCCTTTCTTCCATTTTCGCAACCCATTTCCTTTTCTTCTCCCTCTTTTACTGTTCCCCCAAACCTCTCTTTCAATCCAAGTTTGAGCGCTTAACTTAAGGGTTCTTCATTTTCAAAACTTACTCTCTTTTTCTCTAGTTTTTGCGAGTAATGAAGTCTTCGCTCTTCTGGGTTTCATCTCACTTGATTAGTGTACTAATTGAGTTTGAGAATCGACCCATTTTCTCGTAATATTGGAGATTAGTAGATTACTGTGTTAGTAGGATCTGGGAGTGGGAGAATGCAGAGCTATTTCACTGATAGGAACTACCACTACATCTCCTATTTACCCGATTTCCTTCTGCTGTTTCCGCCTTCTTCATCATTTTGTTTTGGGTTTCTTTCGTTTCTTTGGGCAATGCGGGTTCATTGAGCTATCTGGGTTTTGTTCTTCTTTGGGAAAACTAAGAGAGAATGGGACATTTTGCTTCTGTTCACATTTTCTGTCTGATCTCTGCAGTTCTGATTGTGACTAGTGATTCGTTTGCATCGAATGAAGGTAGATGATCTTATTCTCTGCTAGATCTTGATCTTTTCAAGGCATATTTTATAAATTTGTTGAGTTGGGCAATTTCAAGAGATAATATGCTTAGTTTTGTCTTAGAATTGACTTCATAAAAAACAGTCGGTTCAGAAATGGTAAGTGGAAATAAACAGCTCTGAGCAAATCCTGTGTTGTGAAGTGATGCGGAGTTCTAGTAGTGGGATCCGGATCTTGGTCAAATCATGCTTCTAATTCTGCTTTTAGATCAAATTTTCCTCTATTTGCTTAGTGATGTTTCTTTATCTGGTTCAAGTTATATCAATATGCTAAGCAGAAAGAAGGAACTCGTAGACTTATGTTTGGGATGTTCTTGGTTTTCTATTTTTTTCCTCAGCGTCGGCTCTTAAAACCTTCAAAGAACAAATATATGAAGACCCAAAACGAATTTTTGTAAGTTGGAATTTACAAGCTGAAAATCCTTGTAACTGGTCTGGCATTGCCTGTTCTCCGGATGGAGGCCATGTTATAAAGCTGTAAGTACGTTTCTTATGTTTTGTGGCTCTTTTTCTTTTCTTTTGCTCTTGTTCATCTATTATAGCTTAAATCTACCGCACTGCGTTGGGTTTGATGTTGTAGTGACATTTCTGGGGCGTTGCTGAAAGGATCTCTTGCACCAAGCTTGGGTCAACTCAGCTTCCTGCAAGAACTGTATCTTCATGGCAACAATCTGTTGGGTACAATACCAAAGGAGCTGGGGTTATTAAAGAAACTTAAGGTTCTTGATTTGGGGACGAATCAACTCTCTGGCCCGATCCCTTCAGAGATTGGGAGTTTAACAGATATCCTGAAAATGTGAAAGCAAATGACTCTGTTTTTCTTCTGATTTAGCTTTGAATTTGCTTCTCCATGAACTTTTTCTTACTGTTCTTGGTTTCCTCTTTATCATTGCAGCAACTTGGGATCAAACGGATTGACTGGGAGGATACCCCCTGAGCTGGGAAAATTGAGATACCTCAGAGAACTTAGGTTGGATAGGAACAAACTTCAAGGACCCATTCCTGATGGCGACAATTCAGCGTATACGTCCAATATGCATAGAATGTAAGTATTTGCATGTCTAGTGGTAAGCAGTTGGGATAGTATGCACCATAAGTTTGTGGTTAATAGCCATAATCGACAGTATTACTAGATGAATGCTCCCCATTTGGCTTATGAGCATAAGTACACTTGAGTTATAAATTGTGAAGTAATTCGAAGTGATTCTAATTCAATGTCCAGAGTTGTGATTAACACCAGAAAGTTTGTGTGAGATCTCACGTCGGTTGAAGAGGAGAACAAAACATTCCTTACAAGGGTGTGAAAACCTCTCCCTAACAGACGCGTTTTAAAATCGTGAGACCGACGACAATATATAACGAGTCAAAGCGGACAATATCTGCCAGCGGTGGGCTTGGGCTGTTACAAATGGTATCTGACCCAGACACCAAGCGGTGTGCTAACGAGGACGCTGGACCCCCCAACGGAGGTGGATTGTGAGATCCCACATCAGTTGGAGAGGAGAACGAAACATTTCCTACAAGGGTGTGGAAACCTCTCTCTAGCATACGCGTTTTAAAACCGTGAGGCTGACGACGATATGTAACGGGTCAAAGCGGACAATATCTGCTAGCGGTGGGCTTATTTTGTTTATGTTCATTATGTTGAGATCATGATGATGTTGCAAAGGTTCCCTGTTCGTTCTTAAATATTTGTTTCCCTTTCAAAGTTTGAGGGGTTCTTAAATGAATGAAGAAACCCTGCTTTAGAACACAATTCAAGGTTTTAGGTACCTTCGTATCATTACGTTTCAGGTATGCTTCAAATCCAACTGGCTTCTGTCACTCAACTGAGCTTAAGTTCGCAGATTTTTCATACAATTTCTTCGTTGGGAAAATACCCAAGTGCTTGGATTATCTTCCAAGGTAACACATCTTTTTTTTTTTCTTTCATCATGGATCATATTCATTCCATTCCTTAACTTCTGCTGATTACATTCGGTGCAGGTCAAGTTTTCGAGGAAATTGCCTTCAATACAATGATCCTAAACAGCGAACTGCAGCTCAGTGTGGTATGATTGACCTTGTTTCTTAATGTCTTTATGTATGCGTATTTAGATATGGATGAACAAGCTATAGGCTTCTAGTTGTTTGCTTAAGTATATGTTAACTAAATTTAGTAAACCAATACTTTGAAGAACACACAGATATGCAACTATTTCCGCTCGTGTTGATTGTAAGTTGTTAATCCATTATGTTTTGGTCTCTGAGCTACAAGGGGAAGTGCCCCATAGGGAATAGTTTGTGGCGGGCCCAGGTTTGATATATCAATGCCAAGGTCTTGGATTTGAACACCCAAATATGCAACTATTTCATTTGCTAGACTTTCTATGATTAAATGGCCATCACCAATAGCTATTGACAAATGAATTCTGGTCACTCAAGTTTGTGATTACAATGTCTGTTGTAGGTGGTGTTGCTCCATCTGCTAGATCACACTCAGGAGGCAACTCAAAGCACATACCCGTTCAGCATGATTCCAAGCACCAAAAGACTTCAAAACCTTCTTGGCTTCTAACCCTCAAAATCATCACTGGAGTCACGACAGGTTCTCTATTTATAGTCGCTTTGATCACTTCTCTTCGAAAATGCAACGGAAAATCCTCGATCATCATCCCATGGAAGAAATCCTCAAGTGGGAAGGATCATGTTACTCTTTACATTGGTTCGTTTCGTAACCTTAATTTCTTCGCATCGTTGTACTTATTGTATATGATGTTTGCCTAAGCTTTTGTTACTTGTTGATAGACACTGAGATGCTGAAAGATGTGCCAAGCATCAGCAGGCAAGATCTTGAAGTAGCCTGTGAAGATTTCAGTAATATTATTGGCTCCTCACCAGACAGTTTGGTATACAAAGGCACCATGAAAGGTGGACCTGAGATTGCTGTTATCTCAATATGCATTAAAGAAGAGAACTGGACCGACTATCTCGAGCTCTATTTTCAGCGAGAGGTAAGTATTCATTTTGGAAGACGTTTGAACCCTGGTGTATAAACAATTAAGTGGTTGTTTTTGTTCAATTCCCCTTTAGGTGGCAGATCTAGCCAGGCTAAATCATGAGAATGTAGGAAGGTTGCTAGGCTATTGTAAAGAAAGCAGTCCATTTACAAGGATGCTGGTTTTTGAGTATGCATCAAATGGAACATTGTATGAACACCTTCATTGTAAGTAGAGTTTCTCTTTTGAACTCCTTTACCCAGCTCATTACTTTCTCTTTGGATACCATTTGATTATTTGTCTGCCTCCAGATGGAGAAGGTTGTTTATCCTGGACACGACGAATGAATATTATTTTAGGCATCGCTCGTGGACTGAAGTACCTTCATAGTGAACTTCAACCACCATTTACTATATCAGAGTTGAATTCTGGTGCTGTATATCTTACAGATGATTTTTCACCCAAGGTTTGCTATATACAAACTCCTGAAATGTGTCTTTTTAAATCCAATCTTACAAACCCTTGGATCTTAATAAGAGGTGTCTTGGCTTCAACTGCAGCTGGTTGACTTTGAAAGCTGGAAGACCATTCTTTCAAGGTCCGAAAAGAACTCGGGATCCATTGGAAACCAAGTCAGTCAATGTATTCTCCCAAATTCTCTTGAACCACGTCATCTCGACATCGAAAGTAACATCTACGCATTCGGTATTCTTTTACTGGAAGTAGTCAGTGGGAGACCTCCATACTGTAAGGACAAAGAATGCTTGGTGGACTGGGTGAGAAACTCACTTATCTTTGAGCTTTTTGTCACAAACTTTGTTGTTACAATAATGTTGAACCATTGATTCTACTGGGCAGAAAAACTAAAAATTAGCCTTTTCTTTCTAATCAGGCCAAGGAATTCCTCGGATCGCCCGACGCAATGTCTTGCTTAGTAGACCCCGAAGTGAAGCATTTTGCTGATGAAGATCTGAGGGCGATATGTGAGGTGGTAAATCTTTGCATTCATCCACAACCTGCGATGCTGGTTTGTATGAAGGACTTGTGCAACATGTTAGAGACCAGAATTGACACCTCGGTCTCTGTTGAGTTGAAGGCATCTTCACTTGCTTGGGCTGAACTTGCACTTTCTTCATAGATGAGGTTCAAGCTAACACATAGATGATCAGATATATAAATATATATATATATACACACAGAAATGTAATACTTTTTCTTTTTTAGTTTGAGTTTCTTTCTCTGTTATTGTAAATGCTATGAGTATCAGAGCAGATGAGGTTCGGGCATAAATGCATCAGATTATTCAGGAAGGAAGCCCCTAATCTTGAAATAGTTATTGAAGCATCAAGGAGGTTTCATGAACATGTTCGTCTATGACTAAAAATACATATTTCTCTTATATATATATATATAGTTTTGGTTTGAATACATTTTTTTTGTTTGATATCTATTTGGTTCTCAAAGTTTACTTCAGCTCTTGAGGTTTGGAAACTAGTTCTAAATAGTCCATAGCCTCATTTAACTACAAGTTAACCAACCAAAGCACAAAGTGATGGTTAAGTAGCTTCACATCTTTGAAGTAAATTTCTCTACGCCCTGCTTTATAAGGTCTGTCTTGAGCTTGTAGAGAGGCCTATGAACCTCATCAAATTGCGGGTTCGTAGCATTTCTAGTATTCTCAATCCACTCCCTCACTTTCAGGTGCGGACCCAGAATACGATTCCAATCCTTCTCATCCAAAAGCTGCATTTCAACAAGTCCATGACACAATTAGAACTAGTGAAAACTAAATTAGGGGGAAGACAATAAGTTCAGCCCTAAACGTAATTAGAACCAGTGTACCTGTAGTTGCGTAATTTCACAAACCAAGCTAAGATCAGCTATGGAGGGTTTAAAGCCACCCAGCAAAAACTTCCCATTCCCCTTCAGCCATACCAACTCGATTTTCGAAAGCGACTTGGATAAAAGCATCTCAGCTTCAGAAGCTACTTGAGGATCTGGAGTACGTCCAAACAAAGGTGCTAGAACAGTATTGAATACAAGAAGAGCTGAAAAAGATAAAGGCGAAGGGCAAAATAAGTCATTGCTCGTTTGAAAAGATAAAACAGTCCATACTTCTCTGCTATCTATATGAATAAGAAACAAGTACTAAGAAGTTGGATTGCATTTAGAATTATCAGAAAGAAAGAACATCTTTAACATACCTGAACCACGGCGTAAATTAGAATGATGCCAATCCAGAACTGAATGAATTTTAGCCCTCCTGGAAAGATCAGCTGGATACCTAGTAACATGAACAGATATCTGTTACAAGACCTGAGCATACTAAAATTGCTCTTACAATCAGGGGTGCTAAAGAATTGAAGATATGCATGAACAGATTGATGAACTCGGCGATACCGTTTAGAACCAAGTTGTTAGGTCCAACTAAGTACTAAACTACTTCCTCTTTAAGAAGAAATAATAACTAAGCCAGCAAATCAAATCTGTACTCCCCAAGTATAAGATCAGAAATCAAAACAATAAAGGAGTCGTGAAACCAAAAACCAACAGAAAGCAAATCTATCAGCCCTTCCGTTTGTTGGACAATAAATTAGGAAGAGAAGAGCGTTTAAAAAAAAAAAAAGATACACTAAAATCACGCATACTAAAGCAGGATAAGTCTCCAACACATATGGAAGTCATTCATATTAATCAAGAAAGCTGCAGAACAATAGGAGAAATGAGAAACCACTTACCAGTGATCTGCCACACCAGGAAACGCACAAGAAAGATAGATAAGAATAGCATGACTGCCAAAACAAAATGAAACAATACACAATATTAAAAAAAACATAATAGCTGAATCAAAATTGGGGAAGCAGGCTTATGGCTGCCTACACAGAAGTTGCAAAAAGTGCTGTGATAACCTAGATATTACTGTAAGCGTCAATCAAGGCAATGAAAAGCTCGGTTATGAGAATATAAAGCACATCGTAGCCTCAATTGAACTAGAAAAGTGAAGTGATAAGGAAAACACATCTTAAAAGAAAGTAATAGCTGCATTGTTTATGCAAATATCACTAAAATTTTCAAAAATTGCAGAGTTGAAGAGATGAATATCAAAGTAGATATTAAAAGCAGAGGATCCACGAGGGCAAGCATAAATCTAGAAAATAATTTACGCAAACGAGTATGATGATATTTCCAACCCTCCAGCCCTAGGTGGATAACAATATCTACAAAAATGTTCCAACATAAATCTTTCGTTACCTCTCGAACAGCTTAAATCTTCCATCAACAATGGCGGGAACCTTTCCCATTGGGTTGATCTCTACAAGAAAAATCCAAAAGTCTATTAGAGACGAAAAATGTAGAACAGAAATAAAATAGAAGAAGTAATCCACAGAAAATCATGCTTTCAACTTTCAACTAATCAGCAATATTTTGTCATCACTCTGCACCATAAAATCATCCAATATGATACCAGTATTATTTCCACAGACTTGGCTATTATGTGCATTCGAATTCACAGAGCAGCAATAAATTGGTACTTATAAACTCACGTCTCTGTTCACCCACCTTTGAATTCGGGAGTCAACTGTTGGCGTTTGGACAAAGTTACAGTCACCTCCTCAAAAGCAATCCCGTTAACCCTAAACACCATTAAACGAAGAAGAAGAAGAATTCTCAAACTCCCCTAAGCTGATGGACATTGTCGCAATTTATTTAAAAAAGAAAAAAGATGAAAAGGGTTAGCAAAATTCATGGAAGAGAGAGGAGAATTACTTGCAGAAGATCAGCACAGCGCGAGATGGCTGTGAAATTCGATCTACATACACTTTAAGCGCCATTTTCGATTCCTCTCGCAGGCAAGCTCTGTGTGTACGGCTTATCTGTTCGTCGGATTTTGGACAGCAGGAATTTGGATGATCATATGATCAAGAATCCATGATTAAGAACGCGCTCTTCCCACCTCGATTCCACAGGGGATGGGGATTTATCTTAGCTTAAATTTTTTATAAAAATAATAATTTAGTTTCGGTTTATAATAATTTAATTCTTCAAATTTAATTTATAACAATTTAATTTTTATATTTTAAATTTTTTAATAATGTAGCCCTATTAGTAATAGATTAACCAAAATTGAATGTAAATTTCTATTATTTATCCTTTAATATTTTAGAATTTTTAATTAGTTTATTGATATATAAATGAGTTGAAATGGATATTTGATAAACAAATAAATGAAAAAAACATTTTTTTTAATAAAATAAGAACAAAAATAACGAAGACATGAAACCTCCATTATTAAAAAGTTAAATATGACAAAAATATATTTTTTTATTTTTTATTTTTATAAACTAAAGTCTATAAACACTATAAATAAAAATTAAATTAATTAAAAGTGGAATATATATTAAAATGATTTTGTTACATACAAATTTATACCTATAATTATTAAATTTTAGGATTCAAGGTTTCATCTCCCTATAAATTTAAACTATTTTAGGAAGTAACTTGGTGCCTATTAAAACATTACAACTTTGACTTTATTCAATTACTTTCTAAAGTCAAGAATAATTCATTTTAGAAAAGTCAACTACCAAGAGATCAAAATAAATTTTATTTAGGTATAACAACAGTTATATTTTCTAAAAGCTAGAAGTTAAGGTAAATTATTGTAGGGCGAGTCTAAAGATCTCATCAAATTAATGATCGACTAAACGTTTGAGTGCTCAAAACATAAAAAAAACAATCTTTTAAACTCAAATTTCTTAAACTTGTCTAAAAAGTATGTTTTCGACTAACAAATATAGAATTTAACTTTTTCGAACTTAAAATGTCGGAACCCACCCGAGCTTGAAATGTCTAGGAAAGGGTATTATTGAAGAAGAGGTAATGTTGGGGTAGGTGACAAATGACATTAAAATGGTCCTAACCGGAGAGCTCCAAAGCATTGAGGTCTCACTCTCAACTGTGCTGGGCAGCTGCAGGTACCAATTCCAAGTAAAGGTTCCATTTTTATGTACACTGCAAAACATATTAAGTAAATGTTAATCATTGAAAAAGACATGTAGCTGATAGATTAAAAACATTCCCAAAATACTAAAAAAGAGATTAACTTTGAATCAGTTTCCCTTAAAGATGGGTTTTAGAATAAGAGATAGAATAAAATGCCAAATTCGAGGGTGGTCATGTCGGTGAGTACAAGGGAGAATGGTGGACCAAACCCACACAGGGTTACAGGCTTACACCAAGCAATGAAGAAAGCGATTGTCGAAAAAGATTCGGGAAAGAATATCTATAAATTATTTTAATTTTACATTTCGTTTTTTCTATTTTATGCCTCTAATCCGAATCTCAAAGCTGTCAAATTTCGCCCTTGATTGAGAGAGAGAGAGAGGGAGAGAGGGAGAGATAGAGAGAGAGAGAGAGATGGGGGAGATCTCGGGCGACCCTTTCTTAGTTTGAATTCTCAGTCTTTTGCATAGCGAAGTAAGCTAAAGAGAGGAGACTTGCAAGTCTTCTGACTTTCTTTCTTTCTTCCCCTTCTCTCTGTTTTTTCGAATGATTCAAGGGTGAGGTGAGGAATTGTTTAGCTTGATTCTCTTTTTGACTGGGCGCTTCTGGTGTGCTCTCTTTTTTACTTTCTATTTATGAACTTGATTTGTTCAAACTGGCTTATTCGCATGTATTCTTGCTTCTTCTCATGCTATGTAGTCTCTCACTTCATTTTGATGCAAAAAATGAGATAAAAAGAGAGGGAAATTGCTTTTTTTGGTTGTTTTTAAGTTAACCCAGATGGGAATTATTGCTCATCTTTGCTTTTTTTGGGTTCAAATGCTGGAATGTGTCGAATATAGCTGATCTTGATCCACTTTTTTTTTTACCATTCTATTCTATTGTTCTTGTTTATTGTTGGTATGAGAATCTCGTTTCTCAGCACAGCCTATTTCTGTGATCTATTAATTGCATCCTTCTTTCACCAATAATAAGTATATCATTCTAGCACACTTGTAGTTTAAGGATCTCAATTTATGCCTTCTGGTGGATGCATTCACTGGAAATCTCTGGAGATGATTTGAGCTCTATTAAAATGTCTTCACTGTTATCTTAAACTTGGTATTCTTTGTATATTTGTATGATAGTTATCCTTTGGTGGAAGAACAAATTTGGATTGGGATGGGAAGCTGGATGGAAGTTTCGGACCGTGCTTGCTTCTATTGATTAGAGAACTTCGTCGTGTTAGAGTAGGATGGGTAGTGGTTGTTCAAATCTCTCTAGGTGCTGTTTGACTTCAGATCATAACAAGCCTGTTCCTGACCTCCAGGATGTCGGTAAGCGAAATTTACTGCTCGTGTTGGATTCTTATGCCCAACCATAGTTCGGAAAAGCAATTACTATATTAGAACGTTTGCTGTTGCAGAAAATGAAGGGAGTAGCGACCTCGACGTACCTGCATTTCGTGAATACACAATCGAGCAACTAAGGATTGCTACATCTGGATTTGCTGTTGAGAATATAGTTTCAGAACATGGAGAAAAGGCTCCAAATGTTGTTTATAAAGGGAAGCTTGAGAATCAAAAACGGATTGCTGTAAAGCGGTTCAACAGATCAGCTTGGCCGGATGCTAGGCAATTTCTGGTAAGCTTATATTTAGGAATGTTCGTACCAGCCTGGCTGATGTATATCTTTCATCGAGATTATGTGCAAGAACATGCTATCGACTTTATATGGTTTTCTGTAAGCTGTAAATGGCACAAAGAAATACTAAATTATTGTGGTATAGGTGCTGAAAATGATTTAATCTATTGTTTTAATTCCATACATTTGATATTATGATTTGGTAGTTTTGATATAACATGAATTAGATCGTCAAGTGTATTTGGCCGAAACTCTGTTATATACTTTCGAATTTTCCTTCAATTTCAGGAAGAAGCTAAGAATGTCGGTCAGCTTCGAAATCTTCGGTTGGCAAATTTGCTTGGTTGTTGCTGCGAAGGTGACGAGAGGTTGCTCATTGCAGAATACATGCCAAATGAGACATTGGCAAAACACTTGTTTCATTGTGAGCTACTGTACTATTAATGCTTTGGTCTCCTTCAGTTACCTTCCTATGATCTTCACACTGTGAAGAGCTCTCATAGACTTTCTACATTTTTAAGTGCTGCAAGACATAGAATTTGAGAATATTTGAAGACTTCCTTAATTCTCATTTGCTTTCCAGGGGACTCGCAACCTCTGAAGTGGGCCATGCGGTTACGAGTGGCCTTATATATTGCACAAGCTTTGGAGTATTGTACGAGTAAAGGGCGTGCGCTATATCATGATCTCAATGCCTATAGAGTCGTATTCGATGATGTGAGCATTTTTGAATTGTGCAAACTTTTTTCATGCCCTTATTTTTCTGGGGTGATGGACCTGATGGTTTTGTGTATAATGTTGATATCTTCTCTCAGGATGGAAACCCCAGGCTTTCGTGTTTTGGTATGATGAAAAACAGCAGAGATGGAAAAAGCTACAGTACAAATTTGGCATTTTGTCCTCCTGAGTATCTTAAAACAGGTGCACCCTTTGGACATTATTCATTAGCCGTGGTTATTTTGTTGTCGGTGTATTATTGATAGGTTTATAGAGTTTTGTTTATGAGATCACTTTGAACGTGGGTATTGTGAAATCCCACATCGGTTAGAGAGAGAAACGGAGCATTCTTTATAAGGGTGTGGAAACCTCTCCTTAGCATACGCGTTTTAAAAATCTTGAGAGGAAGCCCGAAAGGGAAAACCCAGAGAGGACAATATCTGCTAGCCATGGACTTGGGCTGTTATAGACATAGTAATTAGAAGTGTGTTACTCTGTCAACAAAGGACTCCTTTCTTCCGTGGAATTCTATTTTATCGAAAATGTCTCTGTCTAATTATGTTGTCACAAGTTGCATGAGCTTTCTGATTTTTGAGTCATGCTCATTTCATACCAATTTCAAAGATATGCAAGAAAATTTGTCTCTGCTGTCTATTGTCGGTTTTCGTCGGTACTGTTATGCAGTACTTTATTGTTGCTCAAATATCATACCATTTCGTGTCACATATTGAAAATCATTATCTCATTCATCTGTAGGAAGAGTTACTCCAGAAAGTGTTATGTACAGCTTTGGCACCCTATTGCTCGACCTCCTTAGTGGCAAACATATCCCACCGAGTCACGTAAGTCTTCTTTCTTTTCTCCTATTTTTTCAATCCACCGAGTCACGTCTAAGAATACACTGCACTCCTGAATCGAACATCGCACCAATGATTGTTCTACTAACGTTCTGTTCGGTAACTTTTAGGCCCTTGACCTCATACGGGACAGGAATCTTCAAATGCTGACAGATTCTTGTCTGGAAGGACAGTTTTCAAACGATGAGGGGACTGAATTAGTGCGATTGGCTTCTCGTTGCTTGCAGTATGAGCCTCGAGAGCGTCCTAATTCAAAATCATTAGTTTCTTCCTTAACTCCTCTTCAGCAGGACGCTGAGGTATAGTTTTTTTTTTTTTTTTTTTTGCCTTTT